GAACTCGTGAGCCGTTTAGAGGCTGTGGATGGCTCCCGTGATGAATATTCGCCAATCCGTTAGGCACTCGGTGTCGAATTCTTCGGCATTCCGAGCAACGTGCATAAGCCAAGAAACAGATTTTCGTGTATGTACGGTACTACTGACAGAATATAAATAATAGAAGAAACGTACTAACCTCAAAACAAATCGATATTTGCAGCACGGTGTTGGATTAAAAAACCCGGTCAATTTAAACGACGTACTTCATGCTCAAAAAGGGTATAAGACAGTAAGGGGAATGTCAACAATGGGGAAAAGAATCTAAGGCACTTGGGAGTGGTTCGCGGAGAATTCTAAATGTTGGCCAAAACGATGGAACAGCCGTCCTGTGTTCGTGAGCTCGCGATCGGAGTTTGTATTCGGTCTGTTCTATGTACTTGCAAAGATATTTTGGACGCGCGGTACGATACACTGTGCCAGCCTGCCTACTACGGTTTAATCAGTCCTTAATTTTCATGCTCCGACCTCTTGAGGTAGTTTTGGATCCGTGTGAAATTTCAGCATCTAGGTCCGCGCAATCCTGCCTATTTTCAGAAACGGTCAATTGCTGCCTATAAGATCTCGACCCATTGCACAACTGGCATACCCTTTGACACAAGTGCTTGTCCGATTTTATCCGAGCCCGAATGTCCCACCTATCTGGCCGGGGACTGAGGGAGGAATGGTTGATGACTAGCCCATAAGCCATCACTGACTACTCCAGTCTTTCTTCTACTTGTAGATATTCAGTCGTTTAAAATTCCTCATTTTTCGATTGGGGCTATCCCAGGAATCGCTTTTTCAGATTGAGAATTTTTTTTTCAGTCTCTTCTTGTAAATAAATGTTTTTACTCACTTAGGAGACATTCACCAAAAGATTGCACGTTAAGTAGACGGACGAAGACGGTAAAGTCCTACGAGCTTCCTATTTACATAGATACGCGGATGTTTGCACTTGGAGAAACATAAGGTTAGTATACCTTTAAAAAGCGTAAATCACCTAGTCCTACGAAAAAAATGCCTAGAAATAAAATTATGATGTGCGGACACAGCGTTGAGGGCATTTTCGTCCAGACTGACTTTACGACTCGTTCCCTCTCACAGCCAGTGGTTTTCAGAACACCCTAGACAGATCTTCCACATGTTTTGCTACTTTTGGACTGTCTCCGCGGTAGCTTACTAACTAACTATGCTCTATCCTCCCTCACAGTCCTATCGCGTTGGGGTGCTGTTCGGTGTCATGCGGCTCACCAGTGAAATATCCACGCCTTTCCTCAACCAGCGGTGAGTAATTTTGTTAAGTTCTTTCTCCCCACCAGCCTCTCTCTATCTTAGATCAGTCCTTGTCGTTCTAATTCGCCTTTACCTTGTTATCGAAGTGATGTGCTTGAGGAAAAGGTCCCATCCATGACGCCCTGAGGCAGTCTCACCTGTCAGTTTAACTGTCGCGAACGACCATGTCCACTGTGGGCCCCATAACATGGTGGGCTCAGAGACGGGGACTCGCGCGTTCTAGCGGACTAGTGCGGCATCTGCCTCACATTCTCCCCCTCATCCGGAGTCGGGACGACCGGAGGCGGGTCGGGCGCTGTGACTGGCAAAGCTAAACAGCTCTTCCACGCGCACCACGCGCGTGCGATGGACCAGGTTTTCACAGAAAACAGAAGGACGGCCCCGATCCCATCTAAGTGGGAGTTTCATAAAGGCCATATTCCCGAAGGGACCGAGTTATGCCGTTGGTTGTCAGCCTTCCGAGTTTAAAATCGTGCCAGACTGTTTTAGTGCGAAACAGAGTCCCCAGAGCTGACCTCACTCTCCTAAGCACCAGTCCACTGTCAGAGTCGGTCAACCATCGTCGGGCGTAAGTGGCTGGCGCGGCTTAGGTCTGCGCCTAGGCGTGTCACTACGCATCCCTCTTGAGTGGCATTTTTTATGCGATGCGCGCACTTTGCGCAGCCAGGTTACTGCATACCGTCTCCCTAACCCGACCCCCTGTACTGGTCCGGCACATCCCCCACGTGGCCCGTTCCAAGGTCAACAGTCCTACCTGCTCAGAGAGCACAGGATTAGTTGGGTAATGAAGAGGGGAATGCGTCGAGGCACCACTTCGGCACTACTTCAGTGTCGTAAAACAAAGTTCTTGATAGTTTTTATTCCTCTGATCGGTTAGACGCCTTTCCTTTCTAGTTTTCCCTTTTCTAGTCGATTCTATTGCCTGAGCACCACGCCAGCCGGCACCGGTTACATCTGACAATGCCAACCAGGACTGGCCGTTTTCATGCATGCAAAGGGCTCGAAAAGACTGTTTGACCTTTAAACTGCGTGTATAATTCTGATGTTGAATAGGCGTTACCCATAACCAACATTTCTACAGGGTTGCTCCGTTTTTCCTGCACTTTTAGCTAGTAGGCTTCGATTTGGTGATTCGTGCCCATCGCACGTATGTGTTGTAAGCTTCCTCCCGCCCAATCTAACAGCCTTTCTTCGGCTCTGGAAATGACAAAGGCTGACGCAAGGTTTGGCCATTGCGTCACCGACCATTGTTGTTGCATGCGATATGATGCCGCCGAGCCAACAAAATTACGCACTTCTTCCAACACTGTTGGCCACTTTTAGGAGATCAGTAAAGGTCATCAATGACAGGTATTTCGATGCTTTCGGGCCTTCGCTGTATGTCGCCCGTCAAAGAAATACCGTAGAATGGACCGTTTTTCGGCTACTTTATTTGCCGAAATTCGGTGTAACAAAGTCGGGATAACACTACCAACGAAGGCAAGGGAGACCGGAATGGCCATTTCTGACTTATTAGCGTAGCCAGCCCCGAGGATTGGATCCGCACCTTTTTAATAGTCCAGCGCCCCAACCACTGAGCCACGGGCCCCTTGTTCTGACTATTGCGATCGGGTAGAGGAACACTCGACGATCGTGTATACGGGTCACACTCGTTCCGTTGTGCATTGGGGCTCAATCTCGGGCCCCATTAGCAGTCATACAGTAGTTAGGCATATAGGCAGAATAAAATTCTCGACAAAAACAAAGGAGGCTGTAGTGGCCATTTCTGACTTATAGGCCGTCATCAGCCGGCCATACCCAACCCCGCCCGCATCACTAGCCGCTGCCTGACTGCGGACGGGGCTCGAGATTGAGCCCCGACTATGTCCCCCTTAACGCGATCGCCGAGCGTCCCTCTACTATTCAAATTAATCTATGACCTGATGAGGAGGGATGCCGCGATTCTTCGACAGCATTTCTTATAGAGAAGAAATCGGAAAAAAATAGGTTATTGTGGAAGCACTGAGTAAACTCTGTGGGAGTTGTGAATGCTAGACGAAGTTTCCTGCTGACTACATGTTCTATCTAGGTGTCGTCGTTAGACATCTGCGTAGTGTCGCAGGGCTCTGTTCCTGAATTTTCCGTCTCTGTCATGCAGTAGGACCGGTATTCGAGGGAAGATTAGGCAGAAATGTGTAAAATTTTTGCCCACCTAGAGAGAAGTGACGGCGTCCCTGTCAGTATTCTCAAACCAAAGTGTCGGTGGGCTTCCCATTTAAAATTAGTATGAGATGGACGTTCTCCGCTATGTCCTCACTATGCAACCGTCTGTCTGGGCTCTACACCTGGAGCTCCATGTTAAAACGGATTCCTCCGTATTTCATGGTAATTTACGCAGTTTCGATCTCAGCCCACAACATATGAGCCCGCCAATCGAGTGGGAGAGGGTCAAACTTGAAACATTTCTGCTGATAAAATGCCCCGGTCTAAGCTCGCAGGTCTTCCCGGCCTGGGGTTTAGGCATGACTGGCTAATGACGGCAAATAAGTCCAAAATGACTGCTTCATCCCCGCTTGTCAATATCAATAGCACTTTCCAAGTCTCCACTTGGCCCTTCTCCCCTTCGACTGTTCGTAAGGCAGTGACAAAAGATCCCGGTTTTTAATCCGGTCTGCTCACATAGTAGGCCTGTATTTGACAGTAGTGAGCTCGGGTTCGGACTTTCCACCAAGGTCTTCAGGCTGAGCGGGATGCGCACTCATGTACACCTAGGGGTCTGTGCTGTACACATGCTGGCAGAACACACTTGACGGTGCCTTGTACAGGAAGACACTGAAATCAAAACAACTCAAGGCAGCCGTGATAATATGCCCCCCTAATTTGCTGTCTTCCGTTGCCAAAGTAGCGTACCTCGTTTGTAGTAGTTTTTAGGGACCGCACAAAGTATCCTTCCCCTGTGTCTCCAAGCATCCATCTCTTTCTCTCCCCTCCCTTCAGATGGTTCTGCAAGACAATCGGTGGCGATGGAGCCGAATACCGGGTGGCCGTGATCACTCTTTTCTTCTCTTCCACCTTCTTTCTCGGTCGATATGTCCTTTCCTTCCTCTACTGGTATATCTTCGTAGGAAACTTCAACACGCCACCTCACCTCCAGATCGCTCCCGAGCTGCCCCGATACCTGGGCTTCTTCATCAGCCTCCCGGCCCTGCTGGACTGCCTCAACATTGCCTGGGGTTTCCCCGTTTTTGCAATCACCAAGAAGGCCCTGCAAACCCTCCACTTCCTGCCTGCCCAGAAGAAGGAGAAGGTCGATGGTGAGCAGCATCAGCGGCAGCAGCAGCAGAATCCGTCCATCGTCGGTTCGGAGTCTCGCAATGGAACTGCCTGCCATGACCACCGCAACGGCAACCTTAATGGAACAGTTCCCCATACGTGTGCGAACGGGCACCCAACTATCTGACTCAGCTCTACTCGACGGGTTGTCAAGTCGTCTTTTTTATTTCGCCGAGCTCGGTCTCGCGTGTCTGTCTGTCCACGCATGTTTTTTCGTCGTTGTCCCCCGACAAGAGGGCCTACTACCAACGGGTTAGGCTAAGCAGACTTATGATTATATGTTGACAGACGAGGTTTTAATTTTATTTATGCTTCCAGCCTTTTGTATCCTGATGATCCGGCATCCTTGTTCTTCTTCCTTACTGGCACTCAAGGCGAATTCACTTGTTCCCTCAATACGAGGCGCCTGCGCTGTCGACTTCGTCATAAGTATTCATCGTTCTTCAGGGTATCTTTGTAGAAGAAACGGTCCCACTTTTCCGATAGACGAATTGGAACCCATCTGGACGTAATTTGTCGCCTACCTAACGCTGAGCATTTCGAGGGTCGCTATTTAAGGTTTTTTTCCTAGATGCGTGGCTTGTCCCGTAGCAGTGGACACTAAATGCGCTGGGTTAGGCAGCTGACGTGGTGCCTACTGCGCTCCCCGCGCTCTCATTGATTTTGAAGTCTTCCATAAAAAATGAGTTCCGATCCATTATGCCATGTTAGGAAAATTTCACAAAGTGGCGTTCTTGGTTCTTCGCTGATTCGTCTCTTCTAGGCGAGCGACTCAAGTACATTATGACATCGATTCGTAATTTAGTGAGCATCGCAGGCCGGGGGGGGGACGGTTTGGTTACGCAATGGTGACGGGGGCGAAAATGACACAGGTGTCGGATGAACGTGCACTGGACCGTTGTAGATGTAAGGCCTGGGTGAAATCGTTTCTGCTGTCGCAGAGGCGCCTTGTCGTAGTTAATTTCAGGAGCAATCAGGCACTGGATAAGTCACTCGAGACTTAGTGGGCGTTGACAACAACTCTTGGCGATAACTTAGACCTGGTGGACAGTTGGTCCTGCACTTTCCCAAACAAAGCTCTTTGTTCTTACAGGTTTCTTCTCTGGCCGACTCAAAGAAAGGTGTGATTGTAGCACATAAGACAGAATATTCTCCGAAGACGAGTGTCGGGTGATTTTTTGTGCGAACTCCAACTGGCACTGCTTTGTGGTAGACTATAATTATGTAGCCGTCACATACACCATATGCATGCATGGGCGGGCTGCTTTTGACCGGCGGTGTTCCTTCCTCAGCACCCTTTTAAAATGGTGTGGAATTATCATGCACTAAAGGTTGTGGGTGAAGGTGGATTTGGCTGGCCTAGCCAATCTCCTCGACCATGGTTTGATTGCCGGCAAAACTCCTGGCGATCCATCGAATGCCCTCGAAATACGAGGAATCACCGGTGCAGCACCTGCCTACGAGGACGAAGATGACGGTACGCTGCTGAAAAGAGCGAATGCGCAAGGAGAGGAAGAAGAAGCAGCAGCAGACTTTTAACCACCCACTTGGCCGGAAATTAAACCATAAACATACTAATGTACGACCTGCGGTGACGAGATCGGAGTCAACCTTCGATCCGCTTTTCTGCGATGCCATGTGAGTTTGCCGCCTGAAGTTGTAAGCATCCAAAGGCTTGTTCATGTCTACCTCGAAAAGATCAAGAGGACTTCGGGACGGCTGTCTCCAGGATTCCCACGATTTGTTTAGTGTGCTCACATTCAGTCTGACCATTTAGTAAAGGCATATCTAAGTTTTTCAGGCTCAAATGTGAGCAACGTCAGGACCACAAACTGATGAGCTTGGGATCGGCCTTGTATTACTGTGTAACTATTGTGCACCAGCGCCCAGTTACCCGTCCCCGGGTTCTATTTTGCGCCCACCGGATGCTAAGCATGCTTTTCTGCAGAGTCAGTCTGATGCGCATCCTGCTACAAACTATTGAATTATCAGAAATGAAGAACAGGTCCAAATTCGAAGGAGGCGACCGATGCCTCTCGATCGGGGTACAACGGTAATTTTAACGAGGCTGAGGTGACGTTTACGCGGTAAGACAGCTGTCGAAGGTGTGCTGCCAAATGACCACCGAGCCAACCGCCGCAATGGTTTGCCTCCGCCTACATGGCATTGCGTCACTACCTGCCAAATGGCTGACATTATGTGCCACCCCTTGTGTGGCTCCATACAGCGAAAGTGAGACGACAGCGTTCTCGGCCAAGCGCAGGTTTCTGACTCGGCCACAGCCGGCATCGACGATGAACATGTTGGTGGAGGGGGGACTGGTCGGTGACTCCCGCAAAGCGAATTGTGCGCAGGACTCTTCAGTATCTCGAGATGACTAGCCGAATTCGCTACTTGAAACGCCAGGTAGCAGATAAATCACTCCTGGAGGTTCCCATTTTCAATGTGATAGTCTCGACAGGGTCATTTGGTCCTTCCGCGTAAAATAGAGCAAGGCTGACGCTAGAATGAGAAGAGCGGAAATTGGAAATGCAAATGAGATGTTCGCCTGAGTGAATGAGGGTGGGGAGATTAGTGGTGCGCCTGACACGTCCGTTTTCATTGACCGGACCAACATGACGGCGTTAAAAAGAAAGAGGACTTCGCATTCACTTTCGTATGCTCAACCGGAGGCTTTTGTTCCACGTTTGGCCTGCGCGTGTCCGAGAACTGTCAGTCGTTGGTTCACGCCCGCCCGCCCGAAAGATAACTTGGCCCCAAATGGATATGAACAGTTGAACGGACTTGAACAAGGTTAGCTGCGCTACTGTACTAACATCCCTCGTCCTACGTGTCAGCTGGGAATCTTATCAGAACCGGTGACGTCATTGTGTCAGTTATAATAGGTTGTGTGTTGGAGTTTCCAGCTTACGTTTCCCACTAGTATTTGCACCTATCCTGTAATCGTTCTCCAGTCATACGTTTGTAAAGTATTTGGTCCCACCGTTAGCCCTCGCTCACTCTTTTTTTCACTTTTTTTCCATCCGAATTAGTAAGCCGGGGAAATCAGTGACGCATTGCGCATATTTTCGAATTTTCTGAAATACCGTGCGCCGACAAAAGCGCGGTGTAATTTAGAAAGGTTTAGCCTGTTGAACGCCTCACGTAATACGTACCGTCCTATTTAAAACTGAAGATTGCCTAGACTGTCGCGCTATAACAACCGGTAGAGAGGATCGAAATACGTCAATGCCTGCGAATCATTCTCGACACCAGTACTTTATTTCCCTTTTGGAATATACGGAACATTAGGTTTTCTTTTGGTACAGGATAGGATGTACACTATTTGTCAAATAATATACCATTAGGTGAAAATCGAATAAACACCGCTCGGTCTATTAAAAAGTGAGTTAGACAAATATTACGAGGATGAATTAACTCATTTGTTGTGCATGATTGCATTTCAAAATCGGCTCTACGGGCTGTCAGTGAGATAGGAGGTCTAGTCTCTTTATCATATTCCAAGCATCCGAGAAGGTTAGTGGGGGTTCTGGAGGCGTTTGCAGTTCCAGTGCTCAGGGAGCTACCCGTTGAAGCTAATCTCTAGTCAAAAAAGCCGGGTAACCACTGAAGGAATCTAGTGCTATGGGAGTACTGTAAACTCTGAACGGTGCTGCCGTAATGAGTCAGCGCACTACCATCTTCGAAAATTGACTCTGCTGAGGTTTGGTACGTGCCTGTCATTAGTCTTCTATCTTTATTATTCGTATCTCTCTTTGCTGGACCACAGAAAACTCCCCGAACATGGATGAAGCCTCCATCAAACTGTACAGTCAAAATTGTGATTCCGCCACGAAATCGTTGACCTTCCGACCTCCAACCTAGACTCCTTCATCAATACCTTAGTCGAAACCCTGAGTCATCAGTCCAGTTAGCATTGTACGCTTAGGTCAATTAAACATGTATCGACATATAGTCCAAATCAAGAGGGCTCGTTTCTACATTTTTTCGGTCGCCGCATTTAGGCGGTCTTCCTTCCTTCGAAGCGTTTTCAGTAGAACACGGAAACTGGAATCCCCCGTAATACAGACGGCCTTGTGCTAAATTCCAGGACGACTAACGTCCAGGTCAAATTTAGGATTAGGACTAGGGTTAGTGTAAGAGTTCAACTTAGGAAAAGGGAATAGTGACCTTCATGGAAGTTAGCGCAAGGCCACCTGTATTACGGGGAAGACTCCTATTTCCGTGTCTTTCCGCAGTTTTTCGAAATCCTTCTCTCAGTACGGATTAGCGCACGAAATCTAGCTTCAAGCTGTCAAAGGGAGCAGAATGCGAGCCGATTGCAGCCTACTCTTCTTAGTAAACTTGCTGTGATCTGCCAAACTTACTACCGCTGAAAAACCGTTACCCGGAGTCGTTTCCGCCATCGTATAACACTGGTTTTTGACTTCACCCAATGCTTTGCCTTCCACATGCCGACGGTATGGCCCACATTTCTCAGACTTATGGCATGATGAATAGTTGTGTCGTGGAGTTAGCAAGGCTCTGAATGTCCCTGGCTTGGACGTGCCTGATTAGTCATCACTAACACGACGCATGCCCCCTTGTCCCTAAAGTGGGCCACAGGTGTACTTCTTTAGCGCACTGGGCGATACAGGTACACACCTGGACAGCCCACTTCTAGACAAACGATGTAAATCATAGCCTTTGGTCGTTAAACGCATTACAAAATCCTTTTCTGATAACCTTTGCCTCATCTAGGGCACTTTTCTACAGAGGAGTAAGATATTCACCCAAAAGCCCTCTGACAATGTGAATTAATTTAAACTTTTTTTTAAAGTTATACATGAGTTTTCAGTCTGCACAACAAAAACGCCCGTTCGGTTGATTCATGAGTAGGTCAGTAAATAAACAGTTCAACTCGCAAGGCAGGCGACTGCGTTAGCTTACGCTGCCAGCAAGTCTGGTCGATAGACTGGGTCGTTTGTGATGTGGTCTGTGAGAAGTAGAGGATGGTGAACGATAACTTATTAAGAAGCGGGGCAAGTCAGGTACGCGTTTGTAGAGCTTTGACTTAGGACAAAAGGTAAGATGAGAGGGATTGGGCAGTTAACAGGTTTGAATACGTTAAGGACTAGATTCGTCCCCGCCTGCCTCCTGGGCTCTTTAACTTTGACAACCATGGCACCAACTCCAAATTGACGTTGCTTTGACCTTGTCTTTCCATCAGTGAAAAGTAAGTAGAGAAAGAGAGGGTGCCATACACCCAGGGCGTTTCAAAAACGACCGAACGCATTGTTGCGGACCTAGGTGTTGGATTTGCACACCGTCCCAAAGCCACCATGCACAGTAAGGTCATGAAAATCAAAGACCGGTTAAAACCTGAAGAGCTATCAGGAGTAATGTATCGCATTCCGTGTCAAAATTGTCCTTGTAACTTTACAGGACAGACTGTACGCATGCTCGGATCGCGCATACACGAACATAAGCTGCCTGTGCGACGAGGCGACGCATTATCGCAAGCGGCTGCCCACACCTACGAAACGGGTCATGAGTTTAACTTCGGTGTCACCAAAATAGTCGCCTGCGCCGGAAACAAAACAGGCCGAGAATTGATTGAAGCCTGGACCTCGGATGAGAATTCGATCTATCGATCTGGCGCCGGCGTACAGAGCCCTGCGTAGTCACCTCCAGTCTTGCGCCGTCGGTCGATGATTGACCTACATGCCTCATCATTGTCTCTTGTTCTATTGCTGCTACTACCTCTGGCGATGGACTCCTGTAGGAGTCTGAAAGCTCAGGACAATAAACAAGGTGATCCGGTGTTCGACTCTTCTTCTCCACTTGTGTGTGTTAGATGCTGTGTAAGGCTGCCTGACAATAAAGTAATAAGTAATTTGAGCACAAGCTGCCGTCCTACGTTCACTCCGTGGGGCACGCCATGGGTGTCTTCGCCTGCGACGATCGAGCTGTCAGGCCAAACGATGCCTGCAAGCTAGAGACCCCGTGAGGAAGTACCCTGGACAGGCTTTTACTAAATCCCCTCCTCCTAAGTACCTCAATTCATATTGCGGCCAACCTCCGACGAGGAATGAACACAAAGACTATGTAATTACCCCGTATGCTTTTTGGGAATCCAAATGTTCTCTGGCTTAACAAGCTTATAGCTTCCTTTCCTCATTCTTATACGAAAGTAGGCATTTTAGTTCCTTATTTCTTGAATGTCGGACATCCTCTAAATGGTGGGCGGGTTTAATTACTGGGAACTGTTTGGCGGGGCAGACTGAATGAAATAAGGTGATCTACGCGGCTATAAACATCTGCCAGACGGAAGCGAACCGCCGACGCCTCCGGCCACTGCGGTCACGCCAACTGCACCAGCATTCTGTAACTTCTAACAACTAGAACATACTAAGGTAGAATGTGCGGAGAATGAAAGACTCATCCGAACACTAAGCATTCAGTGCTACGCTCTCGGATGTGGCTGTCAGATCGCGTGGTTTGAAAAATCCAGCAAAAATTCGGACGCTAGTCACATCTCAAGCCGAATGTTTTTTGATCGCGCGACTTCCACTCAAAATGGCTCAGTGGTTGCAATGCTCTTGCAATTAGAAATTATGGGGCAGCTGAAGCACTTAAAGTGTCAGCGAGAAATTTTGTCCCGAAAGAAACGTGATGGTTCTTTTCTCCGCCTTCTCTAACCTTGCGTTTGCAGCCCTTCATATTAGTGATCTATAGCCGTTTCTCTTTCTTCGCGTGGTTATGAAAACGGGCAGCCGCTGCAGCTCCCGACGCAGTCAACAGTAATGTCATTTTTGTGTTACTTCATCAACAAAGTTTGCTTTTTTATTGAACCTTCCTCTTCCATTTGTTCCGAAAATGAAAATCAGGTATATTTGTTTAATTTACAAAGACTCGCCACCAGCAAATACCCCCAGAAAGTAACGCTACATAAAACGCCGACTTGTGCTTAAACCACTCACATTCTAAGGAGCAAAATGTTAAAAACAATGATTAATTAGTGTTTAAATAAGAAAAGGACAAATGGGTCGCGGGTCCCTTCACAGGTGCAATCCAGCGCGAACTTTACTGCTGTGGCTTTTTAATTTCGACCGGCTTGCAGTCATGGCTTATATCACCTGTCTCCGTATAAGTCAAGTTCAAACAGAATGCGGACTTCATTATATGCCCCTTTGCTTTAAACAAAACTAAATATCGCATGGAAATGTGGTCTAGAGCATTTTAACAAGATGTCGAAATTAAGGGCTTAAATTCCAGACTACTAGGAACCAGTGCCTACTGTTAGTGGACACCTTCCCCCTTGCTGTGCCTTACGCTGTGAATTAGTCGTTTAGCGGGGCTTCTTTCGCTAATCCATACGCACATTCCCTAATTCCCAAAGCCATTTTCAGACAGCTTTTCAAAGTTTAGAAAACGCTTGCTGCCGCCTCGTGTGCGGCATAGGCGTTAGACACAATACCTATGTACCTGTGAACGCAGGACAGGAGATCCGTCGACTAATTAAAGCCCCGGGTATTTTGGGGCAGAGCTGAATTCAGCCAGTGGACAGAAAGCGGTCTCGGGCCGATTTTGCCCCCTTAATTCGTTCCTATTCACAGGCTTTTGTAAGGCCAAGCGGTTTACAAACAGACATGAGGCATGCGGCCCGTAAACCCATCGTTCCCCCTCCCTTCTGCCCATCATAAAAATCGGTAATAGGTGTAGAAGATGGGTGGTCGAGAACCGGAACATTATGTTTCTTGATGTTTGGGTCCTCTGGGGGCGACCGCGTAGCAGCGACTTATGAATGCCCCCGGAGAGCCATTTTGCACAAACCGGCCGCGGAGATAACGGGCCTCACGTTCTCTGTCCTCCAGTTTGCTACAATGAGCTTAAATCCGTTTGAAGAGCGTCTTCACACAGTTTCTTTTATGAGCAACCCGATGGTTTCGGTGAAACAGAGGAGCTGTGTGGTGTTCGTTGCCTTCCTATAAACCGGCGTTTCAAGTTCACCGTCAAGGTTTCGTCTGACGAGCACATTCAGGACGGGCAACTGCTGTTCCTGTTCTTTTTCCCGTTGTGTCTTGAGACTCA